GCTGCGGCCCAAAGGTCTCTTCTCGAGCTCGTCACCCGCAACAGCAATGAAATATTCACGGCTTGCTGTAAAGGTCACACAGAATGCCACCGTTACCGACTTCAGTTATACACACCGTATACGAGAACAGAGACAAACAGTAAACAATCATTAGCAGGCAGAAAGAATAGATCACCCGACTTTATATCTCAACGAGAAAGGGATCAAAAATGGCGCCCTGACTGTGGTTCGCACAAATATCCCCGAATCTACCACCATCACTTTGCGGGGTAAATTGTCTACTGACGAAGACCAATGGAACTTTTGGTGTATTTTGATAAACGTCACATCCAAGCCCACAAAACGAGTAGGAGCCATTCGTCACCCAAACTCTGCACACTATGGGAAACCCAAACTAAATAGTGACTTCAGAATCCGCCATTTCCGTAGAAAACGTTTTACTACCTGGAAGTGCACTACAAAACGAATCCCGTGGAATCCGCATCTACCATGATGTCTTTTGGAACGCGCAACAATCGAAAAGAAACACATCGGAAAGACACAGCAGACAGGATTGCCTAAATACCATCTCCATCCATGGTGTGTCAGAGCGTCCTACTCACGATAGTCGTGAGACCGGAAATCATGAGTTGGGACAGAGGCGGTTCATTTATGAAAAATTTCCCTTGGATAACGTTGTTGCGCGATCCCTGAAAAGGCTACCTGTCTCACCAAAACAAAGAGGATGCGGCCTAAGAATGCTTAAACTCACGGTTCAGTTAGAGTAAACAGCAACGGAAGTGTTAGAACGCTGGGGAAAAAGTCGGAATAGCCTTCCATCTGAACTTCGGTTAAAGGCTACAGAAGCTTTGCAAAGACCAGAGATGAAATCCTCTAAAAATTAAACCTATCAGCAGCGACACAGGAGCTTCACTTTACCGCTCGGTCACGCAATTCTGAAGTAGGTTCGGACGAGGAATAGTATGTGCCTCCGCCAAGTCAGGTTGCGGACGAGGTGTCACTATCTCATCAAAAAACGAATAACGGCTCACGTCACATCGGTCTGCATTCTATCACACCTGCCTCCTTCAGCCCTCCATGGGCCTGATTTTATACTAGTGTTCAAGATCTATTCACTAATGTGGACAAACGGAAATATCCTTAAGTTCCTAAGCCATGCGATATCATTGGTTTCACTGAGACACAGTTACTAGCTGGAATGACGGACACCGAAGTCTCACTGACGGGCATATCACTCTTCCGAAACGATAAACTAACAAAATTAGGAACAGTATTTAGGTATCACCGAAGCCACCTACAGTACCAGAACGTGAGGATTCAAAATCGTAGTTCCCCTATTTTCTTTGGTGTCGCCTAGAGTCAAATGGCGAAGACACCTGCCTTGTGTCTTTGGTGTAATGCCCCCAAAACCTACACTCGAAATGGACGGCCATCTTGCAACAGATTTAAGACACAGTGTATGGCAAAGTACGTTCACATCCTTATTATGGGTGATTTCAACTTACATTATGTAGAAACCCCCTGCTACAATTTGCAGAACAACTCAAAGCCGATATTCAAAGAGCTCAATACAACAGCGTCCACGTCATTTCCCCACTCGTTGCAAAACAAGTAATAGAGCATTTGTAATAGATCTTGTGTTTACTAATGAGGAACATATGTGTTGAATGTAGACCGCCCTCGGGTCGCAGTGATCAGGCAGCTATCAGTTTCAACTCCATCTGCAACGTGAAATATCAGAATGAGAATCCTGATATGGTGCGGACCATTACACACTAGAACCGCTTAGCCAAAATTGTCAGTTCCATAACCCGGTCGCTCATCGACTGGTTCCAGCTGCCTCAGAGACAAGTGTTTTAACCTTTTCTGTAAGGAGCAGAACGCAAAACTGGATGGTAGTATGTAACGCAGCATGGCGAGCGTATATTTTATCTCCAACGCCAGGTAATTAGGACAACTACGTAGACCAAAGGAACCACTGCACTCAACTGCTCGAGAACACAAAGCCGGATATTAGCAGAACATCGCAAAATCCTCGGCGCAAACCTCAAGCTGCTGAACAGACAGTGGCTTTCGAAAAATGAGACGGGAATTTCCTTCACTCCGGACAACTGATAGCCCAACATGAACGGCCACAGAAGCAGCAAATGCGTTGCTGACGCCACTTTCTCCACACTTCAGAAGGTTTTACCATCAGGTGGTCTTCCAGTTTTGTTGTCCCGCCGCCAGGACTCACCTACATTTCCTTTACTGCTGACATCTCTGCGCAACCACAGCTCCCTGTATGTCGCTACACATCGCCCGTAAGCACTGGGAGTAACAACAAGACAACTGACAGAAGTTTAGGCTCAGTTCTTTCAGTGCTGCTTAGACCGGAACCAGGTTCCTGGCATGTGGAAACTTGATACACGAAGTCCTACTCACAGAGGAGAAAGCAGGACTGAACTCTCAGACTCCTGACCAGACGTCTTGCTCGAATTTCCGAGAGCAATTATTAGTGAACTAAAAAACCTTTTTTGGAGAGCTTTTCAGATCTTGACAGAATTGAGGGCGAAATACTTCTGTTCTGATTGAAACCTTGTTGATGTTCCTGCTGAACTACTGTTAGAGCTAATTGACTTGCAGGCAAATGACTTTTTCAAACAGAAGCACAGGGAAGAACAACTTGTCGGATTTTACCGCTGCCTACCTGATGTTGAATTACCGTAACGGAAAAATTTTGCAGGTGGTATGGTATTAGTGTTTGGAACAAAGTATGTCTGTGAGCCCACATTTGCAAAAATGAAGTACGTGAAATCAACTCATCGAACTAGATTGACTGATGAACATTTGAAAGCAATTCTTTTGATCGGTTGCAGCTACTCCAAAGCAAACATTGATGATATTGTGAAAGCCAAACTTCAATTTCAAAGATCTCAATAACTTTTTGCAGCCCTTTGCAACTTCCGGATGTGTGCACCTAAGTAAAGCAACTAACTTTTAGTTACCGTCGCCTCCGTTAATATGATTTTCATTTCATCAATATGTTGAATTCCTTTCATTTTTGTACTTTGCACGTCACTCATATTCACGACGGAATGTGCAGCACAGCTTGCAGTAGTTTTGTTAAGGATATATGTTTTTGTCTTTGAGTATCGTGCAAAACCCAAATCCGGTCCGCGGCGTTATTTCGTTCGCAATCCGACCTGCCTAGAAAAAATTCGGTGCCTCATGGCATACAGAATCAAGCAACAGAATCGCACTGTCAATGCGACCAGGGACTGCTTGTAACTAGCCTATGGACCATGAAACTTATTAGTAAACTAAGACCAAGTATCGACGACTTGTTTACAGTTGGAAATCTGCCAAAAAAGATGTCTTCATCGCGCACCAACCACACATGGACAACGGACTCACGCGAACTGAAAACCGTAGAAACAAAGCAATCCCGTTCCCGGCCGACGAACACGGAAGTTGGTGTAAACTCAGCCGACTAACGACACACCTACTAGGTCAAACAAACTGCGCAACTCACATTTGCGTTACTCTAATGCTTTTGCAAAAAACCAGATATTATCCTGACACTAGTGCGTAAACAATAAAGAACTACAGGGAATCGATTTTCCACGTGAGGAGCATACAAAAGGACCAGAGTGGAGGCTGGCGATGTTCAACTATAAAATGGGACAAAAACCGCCAATGCTTCTGCACTTATGTTATCACCACAGTGAGTGAGGAGACGTTCTCAAACGAATTACCTAGTCCGGTGAATAACAACCGAAGTACAATGTGTTGCTTTTGCTGCAAGCGTTATGCTTAGTACTTTGTCACACAGTGTGGCTATTCTAAATTCAAAGGGTTGGCACGATTCCCAACACCATTGCAATGCGTTATCACATGGGCTACATGGAGCTGGTGAGCGAATTGCTCGTAGCAAGTTGAGCATAAGTGCGATGGCCTGGCACACAAGATCCCGGAAACGGCCCAATTTGAACGCGCTCGATGCTGGTCACTACTCATGGGTGGTGCCAAGTAAACTTGATCTAGGAGCGACAGTGCTGACGCACCCGACTGCGTTATGTTTCTACACAAAACTATGTACGCGCCGCATTAATGGGCGTTGTCCACACCGCAACAAAGTAGGTTTTCAGTACACACACTCGTCTAGCCAAACTGATGCCCGATGTGGTAAACTAACCTTGCTATATCATTAATTGGTACAACTCAGTGTTTGTCCATGGTTGAGTTTGTACAAAAGCTCTCTTGCTAAAGAGCAGCTATTCACGCTGGTTCATGATGTAGTCGTTGCGGTATAACTGACAGCTCGCTCGGCCTAAATTCCGAACTGGACTGCTCGACGGTTGACGATAACCGCAAGTATATTTCGGCTATTTTGACGGGATTTGTGGTAGCCAAATTTAGTCGGTCAGACCGCCACACATTCGAAAAATGGTTAGACGATCTTGTCCTTCCATTCGGATACATCATCAGTAAGCATCTCCCTCGAATTCTATAGGATGCTAACAGATGACCTGCCTCTTACATGTCACCAACCTAAACCACCAGTGACGGCAGTGAACCACCATTACAATAACCTACTATGTGAGACGGTTATAAATAAACAAACAAATAAATAAATAAATAAACGAGTATGTGTACCGAGGTGCGCGATACTTTCTCTTATGTGGAATGATCATTCAGTTTGTCGATACCGCACACATTACCATCATATAGGGGGTAGGACCACAACTGTCATCGCAAAACCGCCATTCGTCTTGTGACCCCTTTGTGACTCAAGGTTGGCCGAGTGGTCTGCACGTTTGCTTTGCAACCATAAGGTCACCGGGTCGAATCCGCGTAGGGGTGGGCGTCCTCGCGGTATACTCAGCCCGCGCGAGACTGGTGGTGGTCGCGCGGCAACACTGCGCCGTTACGGCGTACAGCTGACACGTTATTATTATTATTTATTTATTTGTGGCTCAAGCTAGTACCAATTGCTAAAGAGTGATTGAGATGGTTATGTTTTCTGAAAATATTTGTTACTGGTAAGATTTCGTCGAATAACCGCATGTGCGAGAAAGCATTTTCGACCGCAGCTTGCTGTGCTCAGCCGGCTGATACTCATACGCATCAGCGTCACTGTTTCCACAAACAAGTGAGATCAACATCAATGCGGAAGTGTAAAAACAGTTTTGTGTAATACAGTTCGCACATTAAACTGTCTCATCCATCAACTGGGTACACAAAATTCATCGTCATCCCTCATTCACTGGTGACTAGATCCGGAAACCGATGAAAGCCATTGATGTAAATAGGTCACAATGTCAATCACCACGCTCGATCCTGGCGGTTGGAACGATAACTACATGACTCTGGACTGATCCTTATTTCTTACTATTGGTTAACAATCAGCAACGGCCTTGCCCAGTGCAATGCCCGTTCCTTCATCCTCCGAGTTACGGAGCACGGATGTCAGGTTGGGGTATCTCAGCGAACTGGCGGCGGCGGCTGCTGTCAGTCCAGCGATTTCAAAAAGCTTTGCAGTTTGCATCAAAATTCCAGCACTCATGCGTAAAGAAGTAGCAAGAAGGTTTGGTGGTCGAATGGTTTCACAATTCTGGGTGGCGATAAGCCCCTATAAAGTAAGTCACGGAACGATGAGGATCAACTTCGTCAAAGCAGAAAGAAGACAAGGGTTGCAATATGTTAACATTTCGATTGCTCTCATCAGTCGCAAACACAATACAAGCAGAAACACAGACAAATTTATATGCATGGGAAAATAGTGGCACACCAATGAAACTGTCAAAATCAAGACCAAGGCAATCTGATTGATTGCCTTAAGAGTTTCTGTGCATATAACACAGGTTGCTAAGCGCTAATTAGCAACGCCTCACTGATTGTCAACCTTATCGGGTTCCTGTTACGTAATAACACCTTGAACGCATTGTTGGGGTTCACATGGTGACCAGTTGTCAAGAGGCGTTTGGCGATAGAATATGACGGAGTCCGATTCAATCTGTAGAGCGTTCCGTTCTGTTGTGCTATCATTTGTTCAACCCACTTTGGCAAGTGCTCAGCCACCCTCTGAGCCAACCGACGGTTAGTCTTGCCTATGTAAACATCACCGCAACTGCAGGTGAATTGATAAACCACACGAGAGGCCGAACTAGCCGAGGAGCAACTTTCCGTTAATATAACGACACAATGAAGTGAGTTGAGCAATGGCCTTGTAAATTGAAACATTCGTGTTTCTAGTGTGCATCGATTGCAGGTGCACAGGGCACCAATGGACGAATTAGGTTCAGGATTACATTGAGAATCAGGTTCCGAATTATGGTGGCATAGTGGAAGTAGGAGAAAGAGTCACTGAACACCTATAGGATGGGAATTGTGTCTAGTATTTGCTAAGGTTCCAATAATCTGTCTTATCAGACTCAGTAGACTATCACAATGGGACCGTCTACTCCACAGCATTGAACTAAGAATGGTATAGGTTTGCACTGTAACGCGTCTGGTCCGCCTTGGAAGAACCAGTCTCCTAGTTTGTTCCGACACAATACCATCTAGTGCGATACAGCTTGTAGGCTTGCGGCTACAACTAGCTTGCCTATTGACTTCGCGCATGGTGTTAGCACGACTACATATTAATACTGCATGATTGTTGAGTCAAAATGAAACGGGTCCGTTCAGCCAGTTACCGTATGATAATCATGCCAAAGACGTTTAGTTTAATTAAAGCTACGCGTGATTGCGGAAAGCGCTACAGTGTGCTACGGCTGTGCGCAGTTACAGCAGACTTTATCACAAACGCAGGTATTTGTGGATTCTGTGGAAAAAACGCCTTCGGGCGAGAAGCCATCACGTCCTGGAACACTGTACCAAAACCAAAAGGAAAGCCCTGAAACACCTGGCTGGCACTGTATAAGGTGGTTGTTCAGCAAGTCACAGAATTCATACTGGCACTTATGAACTCGACTCACTCATAGATATATGCATTCTTAACTGGTATACGTCAAGATCAGATCGGTGACAGTGTAGTCTAGGATTAGAAAATAATTTAGCTACTGAAGACTATTGTAACCAATTCGGGAAAAGCTTGTAACTGTTCGTAGTTTGTGCTGACAGCCGTCTGGTGCACTTTGGAGGTGTCTTCAGATAGCACTTTCTGTAGGACAGTCAGTCTTACTGCAAGCTGTGGACAGTCATTTGTTAGAGTAATCATCTTGGCGTCAGTCAGACAAAATAAAATGGGAGTTAGGAAGTGAAACTGGAGTAGCAGGTGGCGGATACTTGTTGATTGAGCTCGCTGTTTCCCCCCTAGTAGCCATTCTATGGATAATTATGCGAGGTCCGTTTAGCTTGTGTCGAAGCTCAGCTTTCTCCTTACTTCACATCGGGAGTTTTCAACTGAAATGAAGTTGCTTTAAGCACAGATGCGTAACTTACCTCAGCTTCTTGCGTTCGTGTCGTTTTGGTGAGATCGGTAGGTACAATGAATTTCACGCTATCAGCTTGTATGGTGGCAGTCATGTTCTGCTTATGGCTGCCATCCATCCTAGGCTCTTGCGAATCTTCACAGATGGACACTGCAGGTTGAGTTTCTGGCGAACCAGTTTGGATGTTCGCGATGTTTTCGGGACTGTGGAACTCAGTATTTTTCAGTAAAGTTGTGTCGTGTGTGGAAGCGGCATTGAAGGGAAAAGTCTCCTTCACTCGTGATCCTTCACCGTACGTGATGAGAGGGATGGGCAATTCACCCGACTGGCAGACTGGTACTGTTGCTAGAGTTGCACTACCGTCCAAAGGCAACAGCGTCCTTGGTTTGTCCATTTTTCTTGTCATCGGCTTCGTTTTTTCGCTCAACTTTTTCACCTGCCTCCTGTACAATTTAAGCTGTGCTCTGACTTTGAGTCGGATTTGCCGAGCATCATACTGTGGAAAAGACCGTCGACAAGCATTCTCTATATGCGTCAGGTTTTGATACGACTGCTGTGAGATTGGTAGCCTATGGTCCAGAAACTCCTCTGTCAATTTACGCACAAATACCTGGGAATGAAAAATTATAAAGAGATGTTGTACGATAAATATAATTAAAAAACACGTCAAATGGTACTTTGGCTGCAAAGTTTGAAAAGTGATTGAAGTTAAAACGACGAACGCTTTAACTTCAAACGGTCATTCGCATCAGTTAGTGAGGGGAAGCGAAGAAGTGTACATGGATTCTGCCAAAACCGCTCATCGACCAAGAATCTGATTTAGCCTATGCTAGCTGGACGCAATTCGTCGATGTTGGAGAAGGAGTCGACGCCGCTTACTTTGATTTATCGAAGGCATTTGATCGTTTTGATTACCGGATTCTTCATCACATGCTTCGGAACTACAGGATCAGTTACTCTATCCTAGGCTGGATTCATTCGTTCCTGCTCCAACTACACTTGAATGTGCGGGTTCGCAGCAAACTGTCCGACCTGATAGGGGTTCCTTGATGAGTCCCTCAAGGCTCAGTGGTAGGACCACGACTACTCCTCGTGCTCGTTAACAATTTTGTGGAAGTTTTGAGGTTTAGCTTTTTACGCCTTGCGGATGACCTCAACATTTGGAGAGCAGTCAAACTAGCAAACGACCAAATAGCATTTCTGGGTGATCTCGATAGGGCTTACGAATGTTCGATCTAGAACGTACTTGAGTTGAACTCTGCCAAGTTCAAAATAACGAGCATACACCACCGGAGCACTAACCAATATCCACTGGGAAAACATGTTTTGAAGTGCGCCTCTGACGAAAATGACCTCGGAGTGCTCGTGCAAGACGATCACGGATGCTCAACGCAGGCTGAGATGGCAGTTAAAAAAGCTAGCCAAACTTGAGTCTACTGCGGAGTGCATTTGACCGGTTATATCCTACTTTCCTTTCGCAAATGGTCAACGATTACATGTGACTACAAGTTGAATACGCGATTCAAGTGTGGCACACCTGACAAAAGCATGACATCACCGCTCTTGAGAAGTCACAACGGAGGAGGGCAAAAGGGTTGAGGGATCGATTCACCTATTTATCAGTTGAGACTAAAGACTCTGGGAGTTTTTAGTGAACAATATCCTCTTCTGTGAAGCGATCTCATAATTGTGTATCAGATCCTCAAAGACCCTAACCACCCACGCCGACCCTCACGGGAACAGCCACAACCGCTCACTAAGAGGTCACCATTTGAAGTTGGCGAAGGGGTATAGGCGGTTGAAATGCTGCCTGAACTTATTCACATTTCGTGTATCCCGCATCCGTGGAGATTAGTTCCGCGTTTTGTCATATCTGCTCGTACACTGTCCAAATTTAAAACTCGACCTGCTGATGCTGAAGCGAAGGTACGGGGTCAAACAGACAGGAAAGATCCACTGAATTGGGATGAAAGACTGCACGGACGTAACAGGTGACAATTTCTCAGGCAGCCTTCCCGTCTTCTTATTCCCCCTCTTACGCTTTTTCACTCTTACCGTCCCATTCGAACTTCACTTATATCCCCCCCAGTTTTCAACCCCCCGATTCTTGGCCCTCCCCCAACATGCTTTGCTAGGCATTTATCTTCTAATTTCAACTCACACGTGAACGCGGAGCGTCACTCCTCTCCTGTCGACAAGCCCATGTCCAACCAAGCGATCTAATCCAGTTCATCGGCTTCCATTTGGAGCCCTCGATCCTCCTTCAGATTGGCATGCCTCAATGTACGCACACTGCTACAAATCGGTCAACAGGCAGCACTTGCCCGAACATTGGAGACCCTCTCGATCGATATCTGCTGCTTATCAGAGACTCGCCTGCAAGACTCGCGCACTGTGCTCACGCTGCGATCCCCTTCAGGGAACGCAAGCAGTATTTTCTCCTTGCGCCTATCCGGTGACGATGCAGCTTCGAGCACCGGCCAAGCCGGTGTTTGTATTGCCCTGAGTCCCCGGGCTGAAGCTGCTCTGGTTGATTGGATTCCAATCAGTAGCCGGATGTGTGCGGTCCGATTGGCTGGCTCGTTTAAAGCTTCGAAGTCGCGCGGGACTAATAGATGTCTATTCATCATCGCTGCCTATGCGCCCACAAACAGTAGCGATGATTCTGTAAAGAACGACTTCTACCGCCAACGGACCCAGCTCCTTCGCCACAGAAGAAGCACGGACACTGTTGTGCTGGCGGGGGATATGAACGCTCAAGTTGGAAATTTGTCCACTGATGAACTGCATCTGGGCGGTCAACACGGTGTAGGCTCCCGTAATGATAACGGTGAGCGGTTACTTCATTTGTGTGAAGATGCTCGCTTATTTCTTGCGAGCACTAATTTCCGACACAGCACCCGCCGGAGGATGACTTGGCGCCCATCCGCCTCGAACCAGCCTTGCACGCAGATCGATCATATTGCGATAAGTTACCGCTGGAGAGGCTGTATCCAGAATTGTCGCTCGATTTGGAGCACATGTGTGGACACCGATCATGCAGTTGTATGTGCTGACATGCGGATGCGTTTTGGCGGACGCCCACGACGACGCTGTGAGCGTATTGACACCAGCCAACTGACAAAACCAGCTGTTCTGAATGCGTATCGAAGTACGCTAACATGCGAGTTGAGCAAGCGCTCACAGGAGACAATTGATGGTCACTGGTCACATGTTCGGCAGACCTTACTAGCAGCAGGAAAATCCTCATGTGGTATGTCTAATAGACAACATGGACATTAGGTCTCTTCGCAGTCTCTGGAACTTATAGATGCTCGCCGGCAAATCCCGGCTGGAAGCGAGCACAATGAAACTCGCAAAGAGCTCCGGGCAAAACTCCGTGCTAGCCTGAAGAGAGACCGCGAATCTTGGTGGTCTCATCGTGCGTCAGAGATGGAAGTGGCCGCTGCCCTTGGCAACCATCGTAAGTTATTCCGTCTGATACGGGAAACGGGTAGTAGGAGACCTGGAGTTAGTGAAACTACGTGACGAGAGTGGACAGCCTATCCACAATTTGTCAAAACGTCTGGAGCGTTGGGCTGATCATTTTGAAAAGCAATTCAATCGGCCAGAATTGTTCGATTCATCGCCGGTCACTGATCGCCCCGCTCCGTGGGCTGTCCCTTTGGATCCACCCTCTCGCTCAGAAGTCGAACGTGAGATCGGACTGTTGAAGTTGAACAAAGCCGCGGGACCAGATGACCTTCCTCCAACCCTCTTCAAATTTGGAGGCTCTGCTCTTGTTGATGCTTTGCATGAATTACTAGTGAAACTGTGGGAGCAGAAGACTGTCCCAACCGACTGGAGCCGCTCCGTTATTGTTCCCATCTTCAAAGGCGGCTCGCGCTCGGAATGCGGCAACCATAGAGGAATCAGTCTGATCTCCATCGCCTCCAAATTACTCGCGTCCATAATTCTCCGCAGACTGACTGGCGCTCGTGAAAGCCAGATTCGTGAGGAGCAAGCCGGATTTCGTCGGGGTCGTGGCTGCATCGACCACATCTTCACCTTGCGTCAGTTGTTGGAGCACCGTCATACATATTGGCGGCCCACTGTAGTCGTGTTCCTCGACATCAAAGGTGCCTTCGATTTGGTTGATCGATGTGCCCTTTGGAATTGTCTATTCAGGAAAGGTGTGCCCGAGAAATATGTAAATATTATCCAAGCATTATATGCGCGTAGCACGGGCAGAGTAAGGGCTTACAGCAGGCTGTCGCCACCCTTCAATATCTCCAGCGGTGTGAGACAAGGATGCCCGCTGTCACCTTTCCTATTCAACTTCGCTATTGACGAAGTCATGGGGTTTGCATTTACAGGACATGACTTGGAAGGTGTGGAGCTACTCCCAGGAGAACGACTTTTTGACTTAGAGTATGCAGACGACATTTCCCTCATCTGTGACAGCTCCCAGACGTGTCAAGCCGCGCTGGACAGATTAGCACTGGCTGTCAGTCGCTTCGGGCTTTGCTTTGCACCATCGAAGTGCAAAGCGTTCCTCCAGAATTGGCAGGGTTCGCCCCCTGTGCTGACCCTTGTTGGGGATCAGCTAGAAGTCGTTCAGAAATTCAATTACCTGGGAAGTTGTATCAGCGCCCTTGGGATCGAAGACGAGATCACGAATCGTATAGCGAAAGCTCGAAGTGCTTTTGCTAACCTTCGCCACCTATGGCGACGGCGCGACATTACTCTCGCCCTGAAGGGTAGAGTGTACAATGCAGCGGTACGTTCGACCTTACTGTACGGTTGCGAAACCTGGCCCCTAAGATCGGCGGACATGAAGAGGCTACTTACGTTCGACCATCGGTGCCTTCGCAGCTTGGCTCACATCTGGTGGGAACACCACGTAAGTAACGAGCGTGTTCGACGCCTTGTTTACGGCCTAGGAAAAGGGAATGAACCGCTCAGCACCGTCATTTCACTCACCAGGCTCCGATGGCTGGGCCACGTGTTGCGCATGTCAGCCCACCGACTCCCTCGACGTGTGTTGTTTGCTCACCGGGGATGTGGGTGGAAGAAGAGGAGAGGTGGCCAAGCGCTGACTTGGTCCAGAGGAATGAAGGCCCTCACCTCGGAGCTGGCCTCAGTTGGAGCTTCACGGCTCCCTGGTTGGGGTCCAAAAGATGGTGAACATGTTTGGCTGGATACACTTGCTGACATGGCAAGGAGCCGACCTCAGTGGCGTTCGTGCTGTGAGTTTCTTTGTCCCTCCCCATCCCTCTTAGCCTCCCCCTCCAACCACGATCTCATTATTTAACCTTGCATAATTTTGAATAGTAATTTTTCTTTGATGTACAGTAGCCGAATTGTAGCTTACCGAAACGATGCCCATCCGTTACCGGTAGCACAGCTGGCTTGCAGCAGTTGCATTTTTTCTCCTTTTTTCTGTGTATTGCGGCACATTAGCCGAGGTGTTCCGCACCTCTAGCTAACTTGTATGTTGATGATGATGATGATGCTGACCCGCTTTACATGATTTAACCCAAGTTACTGGGACACGGGTCAATGTAACCAGAGTATGTGTACATGTAACATTCGCGGTACGTCCACTGCTACGCACTTTTTATTTTGATATATAATTTTTTATCGCACTCCTTACCTACGGAAACTGTTAAACGTTTACTTTTCTATCCGTGATAAATCAAATGTTACATGGTATTTTTTCCTTCATAAAGTTTAGAAGGTTTTGCATTGGAGACGTGGTGCATGAAAACGCTTCTGTCAGTGTTTCAGCAGGCATTGCATGGCTATCTCCGCTCTACTAAATACTCGTTTAGATAAGAATTTCTCAAACAAATACATCCGCACATAAATAGTGGATATTGACCACCCCCGCAATAGTGCACTCCACGAGCGGTTTTGCATCCAATATCACCCGTCAAGTAGAGATAGCGGAGTTGTGACTCGAATCCAGGACCCTAAGAATGTGAGCACAAACCTGTGTGTTCCGGTCAACTAGTAACTATTCCCTGTAACACAGATTGCACTCGTAGACCACCCGCTGTTAAGACCGATCAAACACTGAGAAAGGCGTTTGAAAAGCAGGCTAACATATCAAACAAGTCCTAGCGAGAAAGCAAAGTTAAATCCTACTGTTAGGAGCGAGGAGGAAACTTGACGCAAATACGCGGGTTCTCCAACAATCTGCTCTTTCCTCACTGCGTGAAATCAGATTACTAGGGCAATCTTATAACCGGAGACGAACATTGATGTTAGCATCTCCTCACTCCTACGGATGAGGCTATTTACATTTTGTGACACGTTTCCTTTAAGGATGGCACCGGACGTCACCGAGTACGGACATAGTCCGCCACTCTTCCAACTCAGAAACCCTCCTATTTCATCACAGTGCAGTTTGTGCTCGGTTAAGCTGCCATCGATCACTAGGAGAAACAGATTAACTTTCGGTATGTTGCAGTGCCCATCGTACACAGCACTTCCAACAGCTGGATTGTGTTTCAAGCGCAGCTTGAGCAGGTGAAAACTGCATAATCGGAGGGAAACACCAGTCAGACGATGTCGAGTCTGCGTAAAACGGAACTTATTATTTGAGAGGGTACAACCCGATGCTTTATTGTGCACCGCATTTCCGCAATATAACGATGATAACGAACGTACTTCTCGCGGTGTAGATCCACACACAGGTCATCTGAACACACTTTACGAAGCATCCGGTGTTTAAGTTTGAGGTGTAAGTAGAACGGACTCGCTGACATTCCTTCGTCTGGTGGCCCAGAAATAATATGTCTGTTAGCTGTATTATTTCGAGGCAGGCATGGTTGTCTACCCTACACAAGTGTTTCTGCCTGATAAGTGACCAAAGCTATCAACTTCAATACAAGGAGGCTTAGGTCACTTAGCTGCCTAAATGCAGTATTGTACTTCATACAAGTCGGCGTCATTGTGGCGTATTCCGTTTATATCCACCCACGATCCGAAACGCTGCACGCCCGCAAACCGCGGCGAAAAGGTGCAACCAGCATGTCGGCATGCTGCGAAGGGGATTCGGGAGATTTGACCCATCAATTTTCCCAATGATGCATAATTCTTATGTACGCCCTCACGTTGAATACGCTATCCAAGCTTGGCAACCTTGGTTGAAGCGTGACCTAGAGGTGTTAGAGGCACCGCAAAGAAGGGCAACGAAGGATGCCAAAGGTATAGGCAATCACTCTTCCCAGCGAAAGCTGAAGTTGCTGAGAGTTTTCAGCGGACGCTACCGAAGGCTGCGCGGCCATCGCATATTAGCGTACCCCAACCACGTATGCCGCCATTTGCTGAAACTTTACCACAACACCAAGTTCAGAGGTACCTGTTTGAAACTGAGTGAGCGATACAGTCCTTTAGAGTGTTGACGGAATTACTTTTCCCTTCGTGTTTGCCAACCCTGGAACTCTCTCCCAAATTCAGTTGTATCCTCCTCTCCTGCCGACATTTCCAAAAATAGAGAGGATGTTGCTCTTATTTCCTAGTGCTTCGTTACATGAACTACGCTATTGTGGATTACATTAAGCATGTCCTACTGCCGGATATGTGTCACATGGACCTAAGAAGACGGCGCATAAGTGAGCGAACATATTTTACGCTTTATGTCAATGATCATTGCACCCCGTGTTCTTCTGTATGCTTGCATTCGATGTTTATTGTACACCAAGGTTTTTTTTATCAACTCATTTATCTCGGTAGACGCTCGGTAGATGACTCACACATATTTGCTTTCAGTATATTCATCCCAGCCATCCTATGTAAGGTGTCAAGCACTTGTTTTTAACCTATCATATATCATTGTTCATTACACATAAGGTATTCCCTCATGAAATTCTATCACAAAGGAATGTGGTCGATATTCCATATTTATGTTCAGCTGTCCAAGTTCGTAGGTTTATCCGTTGTATCGCAAAAGAGTCATGAGTGGGAGAACAAAATACAATTGGAAGTGATCGTTAGTGATGTGACCCCTAGATAGAGTTAAAAGTAAACACGGTGTCTTTTCATGATTGGCTCCATCACAGATTGAGAAGATAACATACTTTTGGCTATAGAAAACTGCTCGATCGAAGTTGATTACTCCCTCATACAAAATGCAAAGCAGATGCCAAAGTTATTTTGGGCTATTACGCTTTATTGTGCCTTCGACCGCTAATCGTCCCGAGTTTCTCCTTCGGAATGACTGATGCACGCAAAATTCTAACACCGATTCATCCTAAAGAAAGATGAGATGAAGCATGATCGCTCCCTATTGGTTTTAAATAATGCTCAACTACCTTCGTTTACGAGCATCAAAAACCAGTTAGTAATTCATGTACAATATTTAAAAACCGTCAATGAGCGATAAAGTCCTTTGACTATCATCATTCTCCAATAACTCTAAAAGCAGCAGCACGACTTTTTCACTAGCTAACATGCAAAGGATTCAAAACTACTTTTATGGTTCATTTACCACAAGGCCTTAATTATAGTGTGAACTACAGGGAAATTGCCACCTCTAAATCCAAAGCCAATATTCAGCCACTGCACACTCTTCTCGTAGTTCAGTTTGCAAAAGCAAGCCTCCCCAGGTTAATTGTTCTCACTTAGTGGCTGATTCGACCGCTGCAGCCACGGTGCAATAATATGAGTTGGTATGCAATGTGCAGTGGTAGCATCATATGCTTGCTAGCCAGCAACGCAACAGAGCGTGGGATACCGATCCCATTCCGGATGACAGATAAGCGGTGTAATATACATGTATGTTCACGCGATAGATATTTAATGGTCTAATGTCTATTCAGCCAGCTCCAAGTGTTATTAACTTATTGGGAACCTCTGCTGAATGTTATTCGACTTTGTAAGCATTCCGGACTGATCGGACCGTCATTGTAGCACCAAGTGCTGCAATTAAGATATAGATTGGTGTTAGTGACAGACCAGTTTGATATCTGTTATTGTGAAAAACTCGGTCAATTACAGCTCAGGTAGTTACATACTCCAAACGCCTGTTCGCACTGAGCTGGACTCCTCCCAGCAGAGGCATTCATCGGTTCCGACTCCATCTGAATCCTTGAAGCGTCTAGAATGGATGACTCGTGATTATCGGACATGACACGAGTAGGGGTCTACAAGCACGTGACAATGATCGTTGATGTGGGTGCATACCGATAGATCTAGTGGTTCGTCAGAACTCAATGACGTTTCTCCGAAGTAATTTTCAGGCATCTGAAGCAATAAAGACACGGGAGTCCATTTAATATCATGAGCAACAGAACTCAACACAAAGTTACTTGCGGCATAAGACTATTTTAGTAACCACTGGGTGTAGGAGCCAGGTTCAGTCGTAGGTGTCCTTGTACTCACAAAGACTCGTTTGAAGCGCACACACTTGCATGCTTTGTGAATCAACACCGCAGCTAGATGGCAAACATGAGGTGAAACGAAGTACTTTACTGGTTCCGTCAACCATGTAAATACGTTGCGGATGTTGGGAATGAGGTCGCACTTGCCAGGCGCAAGATTGGATTACGAGGAACCTGACGCACTCATTGCACTACGATGACGATATAGTACCTGAGAAAACCCATAGAAAGCTTCCAAATAGAAAAGACAAGCTAGTTAGTAAATATGTCTACACTGTTATCAGTTGGCCATGCCAAAGTTCAATTATGCTAAGCAGTCCGATCGCAACGGAGTGTCTTAAGTAAGGAGCCATTGAAAAACGCATGACGAGGCTTAACCGCGGAAGGAGCGAAGTACAACTGTCAGCAATCGGACTATGGAAGATGTAGGAGAAGCAGTAGAACCTGGACCAAGACGAATTTGAATTTGAACGATGAATGGAACGGCGAGTAGCCAACCTCGAATGAAACGCAAGAACACACACCAAATTCCCATCTGAACAGTGATCTGAACGTTGCTCAATTTGACGCGGTTGCAGTTACTAGGCTTGAGGTTTAACAACATCAGTTAAGATACCTACTGCATTCAAGAAACAATTGACATACACCCAGCTAGTATTGACAATGTGTTGGGTGTTACGCTCCCATAACACCGCGACAATGTAATTTGACCTATTTCCAAGGATACTGACTTGATATTCGCAAACTCTTGCGTCTGTCCATAAGGCTTACTGACTTGCTCAAGGTGGTCTGTTAGGAGAATATCTATTTGGCATTCATCTTTTGTGAACGAGCTTAACAGCCATTCTTTATTCTTCCTACTTTCCAATACTCGACTGTTGTTTAAACGCTCCCCTGTGTTATCCCGATTGGTACACACACGTTATTGTTACTTGACGCTCATCTCCGTGTCATCTTCAGCAGTGCCATTTGCACGAACACATTCCATTAGTTTTTCCCGGCATCACTATTATATCCAGTTATGTTAAAGGAATAGTTAGTTGTCACACGATTATTGTACTAGTTTTTAATGTTTGGGTCTGCACTTCTTATTCTCGGTTGTTTCGTGACATTTGTTTCAACGCTATGTTTCGTTATTCCGACTGGCCAGTGCCCGTCACTGTAAATGGATGTTCGCTTTACGCTTGGGGCCTCATGATGCTATTTGTAGAGACATATGCGATTCGTTCTTGATTACACGGTTGCTTATTCATACGTTGCATTTGACGTTTTCCTTCTGTTGTTTGGCTCAAGTATAATTTAGTGGCTTCTCTTCATTTTATCTTCAAAACTATATAAGCAAATGTGATTTCACGTATACAAGTCTCTTGCTGGCTCGTCTTTGGACTTCGTCTTGCGGTCGTGGGGTGTGGATATCAATGGCGACACACATAATCATAAAAGTTTTTCTACCGCACTCCACCGCCGCAGCAAATGTATGTGGAGGATACGTCGGGTTATATTTCAGTTAGGTTTCAATCCTTAATGATTGGCTTTCGTTCCCGATGGCTTAGTGGTATAAGCTGTTACCTAGTGGTGTAAGCCGCTAGCGGTCCGATCCCCAGCAATTGACCGAAGGAATGCGCACCACTGATGATTTCCAATAAGACGAAACGATCGTCTGGTGCCTTACCGGATTGGGAGCTTACCTATGCGGCTTGTGATCTAATTGCGAAGTAGTAAATAGAATCATACCAAAATCCGCCTACTCATTAGTAAATGTATGTAACTCGGTTCACTCGTATCAGCAATATTATGTTCAAGGTGAATCATAAGCTATGGGGTCCAAACATCATGATCATGTGGGTAGCAAGGAGAACAAAATGTCACGCATAGCAGTGGAAGAAAAAAGAACGTTCTTCTGACAGGATCGGTTGCTATAGCGATGGTACAAATGTGATGGTTAATGTGGAGGTAGAATTAGACAACTCGGTTTCCATGCTGGTACGGTTGAAACTGCTAACGCATGTGAGTCCGGCGGGAGAGAAGAACTGGAGACTTTTGTAATACTGGACAGTCAGTAATTCTCAGGAGTGTCGGAACCACGCTTGGAGGATGCAATGGTGAGATCGCGCTGTGCCATTTACTGTGAGGCGCGGTATCGCCAGAAGCGGCTATAAGAGAGTTGCTTACATTAGTCTGCACTAATAAGTCGAATTGATCAGCAATGTAGGAACTTCAGGAGTGGCGTCACGCCGATGGGACTGCAGATTTCATTGAACCAACCCATTGACTGATAGGTGAGGGATAATTAGTGCATTCATTTTCTGGTTACACTCTAACGACCAATTAAATGAGTTTGCCTACCAGAGTCTTGATACAAACATTCTCCTATCAGTCTTTCAGTTGGCAGATTTGTAGAATGTCATTGTCCAACAGCTAATTATCTGCCTTAAAGAAAACACTAACTGTCTTATCGTGTGCAAACTACCACTTCGAGCTCGCTGAATGATTATGAGGTTAACGTCAGTTATTTCCTTAACCGGGGCTATTGCGATAAAATCGAACGATGGGTCATTACCCGGAATAGTTAAACAAGTTTGCAACCGGGTGGTTGCACAAGGTTACTGGAGGATTGTGAACGCCGCATCATCGGCTTGAGTGACAATGCCATTGCAACTGAGTAAGGATGTCGCCAATCGCTTCTATTTTTCAACTATTGTGATGTGCGGAGATGAGGCCGCAGCTGCCGAGTTCTTCGCTACCTCGCTTTTAGTTGGGTTGCATGCGGAGAGCTGGTGATTGGTCCCTGACTTTGGACGGTTGAGAAAAAGTGTCTTCTAGATTCGCAGCACAAAGTCAGCGATTGTCGGGCCCCTTGAGTTGCGTGGTTGAACGGTGCCTCAAAAAGCCGGTGATAGTCAATGCCCTGGTCTTTCGCGGTCACTAGTCAATCCTACTATCCTCTTTTTCCGTGTGTCTCAATGAAAACCGTCGACATGAGCCAGTCCTGATTAGTTCGGTGGCGAATGACCCATGTTCGCGTAGCCTCACACAAAGTTTTTATTTAACTCCACGCAACACCGGCGGGCCAACCTCCTAACTAAGCCACCGCTCGGCTCAACCTTAACTGCGATGTTCGTTTCAACTTGCTTTGATAGTTTACTGCACTTTCGAAGTGGATGGTACGGCTTCATTCCACTTGAGAACATACAACAGACAACTTGACCCCAGTCTGCTTGTGCAACATGTTGCAGCTGCCCACTGGCTCTGCTGTGATGTCAAGCCAGTCGAGAGACAGTGACGTGTGAGTGTGCTCATTGGTAAATTAGTTGCCTGAACCGTATTACACGTCCTTTATACCGTATATCTACGGGTGATCGGTAGTACACACTTGGGAATAAGCAGAGAAAAATTTCCTGACATAAATCGTGCGGAACTTCTGTTAAATAATCTGCAGTACATATAACAGCGCCACAGAACTTCATATGCTCATATCTACCTCGGTTGTGCCTACTGATAGTATAAACTAGTGCCAACTTTTGACAGCAGAGAGCAAAATGGAATCTTTTGGTGGCGCTCACCGTTGGATACTGGCTGCGGTTGGATCAGGATTTCGGCATCACGCATCAACTTCTATAAACGGCCATTACTGTTTGTCGGGAAGCTTTCTTTCTTGCGAAGTAGTTGCAAATGACAAGAACACCGGCTCACTTGCGATAAAGATAAGGTTTCTACGTGGGTGTAAGCTACGTCTTGAGTCGTTGTGAGCGAGCAGTAATACCGCTTCTAGTTCAGAAAACGCCTACACCGATGCTTGTTCTATAAAGTTATCAGTCATGAACACACTCAGCCATATCGTGGTCAGTTCCAAGTTAGAGGCTATAGGGCAGCTGTGTGTGGACTTAACCTGACGTGACAGCGACGCGAGCCGCAAGTGGATACCATGACCGGCATTTCTGACGGTACTTCTACGCTGGGTACATGATTTAAGATGAGAATGCGAGCCTGCAACTTCATGTTTTCGCCTTTATAGCGTGTCACAAGGGCGGGGCAAGCTTACTTTAACCACAGCGAAAGGTGTCATCTTAGACACTAAAAATAGCTCTTACGTCCGTGACGCCTGGTTGATTCTACTTCTCCATATTTCACTTCTAGATTCAGCTGTGCAAACTGAGCGACACTGGTTGGCAGTTTGATTGTTATCTCAAGGACGATCACTAGCTGGACTTCAGATAACTCTCCCCTTTATAGATTACCACCCCCACCCCTTGGTCTGCAGTGGCAAACTATCAATGTAACTTATTTGAGAAAGGTAAGTTTACTCACCACAGAAAATTTTATCCGAAGCTTAAGTGAGAAAACAGGTATCATTTGTATGAGCTCACCGTTATGGCATCTGTAGTCCGTCCGCTGTCTCAAGTGCTCCTTGCCCGAGTACGCGCTCGCTGTCTCAAGAGCTCGGGTTTGAAAATCGGACCCACGCAGACAGGTGGGGAATTCGATCGAGACTGTGGGCTAGCAGTACCAGCTTCGGCCCTATTTAGGCTGCTGTATTGACGTTTCTGCCCACACATGGGCTGGCGGGGTCGTTGTCCTGTGCACGTGACATAACCATACTTGCCACTCGACCGCTTCGATCACGCCCCCTGTCCTGGCCAGTTTAAACCCACCCACCTAGGCGGGAGTCGCATATCCTAACTACTATCGTGCTTATCGTAAACGGTGTACGTTAACTTACTACAATGCATAAAAGCTGACACCCTGACTCTCGCTATCATTGTAATGTGGTCTGGCTGGTGCGAGCACCCACAGAATCGTGGCAAAGCGCATTAAACCCGGAAAAACCTGTAGGTCAACCTGGAAGAGAAACGAATGATGCTACAGTTTAAGTCCATGTATGGATATATTTGGGTGTTGCTCTTCCCAATAAGTCCATGTAATTCCAATGAGTTGTCAGTTGCCAATGTGTGTGCACTAATGAGACACGGAAGCACTGGTGTAAGCTCACACCCTCGCGACACACGAAACACTTACAGCAAATGATCATACTCATCGGCTTAGCAACTAATTTTGTCGCCCGGAATGCTGACAACATATTCTCCATGACAGGGCAGAATAGGCGCGTGGCGGTCACACAATCGGCTCAGGGTAATGGGCACATTAGCTTTCGATGAAGTGGATTATCATGTGGGACATTGAGGTAAAATGTGGTGAAAGTGACCACAATTGGACAAGTAAGTGGATCGCCGGGAAGAACGTTTGCACTGGTGTGACACATGGCTCACAAATGTCGTTGGTCATGTGTAGTAACATTAAAATATTCCATCATCTGGAAATGTTGCCCTTTATATTTGGTATCGAAGTATCAACGGTACCGAAAATGTTGCCCCTGTCACATGCCGCCCGGGGCGGACCGAACCCCCGTCCCTCATGCCACTCCTATGGTCGTACTTCTGTGCTATGGCAACATAGGGAAAAGTTAAATGCAGGGTAACCTAAGACTGAAACACTGCGTGAAAAATGGATTTATCAGGGACCAAAAAGCAATACGCTTAACAGTTTCCGTAGACAAAGTATGAGAACAAAAGGGAATTTAGCAAGAAAATCTTGTAAAGATGCACTTACCGCAAATTTTACATGAACACATTGTTTGATTACTTCGTCGTGTCCAAGATAGTTGGGTTAGATCAAATAATGCAAGTGGTGCAACGTATCGTCAAGCCGGGTTTTAACTTCTGCTAACGTAGGAGCGGAGATGACCTAATGCGGAAGTAAGCTCCATGGCTGGGATACACACGTGGAGAAAACGTTCCAGTGGCATTCCAACCGGCTGTACTGTATAGCTAACTTCGAACGGTGACCTCTAAATGAGGTGTTGTGGCTGAGTTCCAATAAGGGTCGGCATGGGTGAATAGGATCCTTGAGAATTTGATACATAAATAGGAGATCGCCTCGCAGAAGACGATGTTGTCTGCTGAAAACTCCTAGAGCAGCTGCCCACGGATGGCCCAGAATCGTTTGCCCTTCAAATATGTGAACTTATGAGCAAGAAACAAGTCTACCATTCAACTTGGTTTGTAACTGAGCCATAGTTCGGACCCTATGTTGTCATACAGGCTGCTCTCAGTGTCTTCTGACCAACATTAGCCATTTTGGAGCCAGTACTCGATCATAATCATCATTATCAAACACGTTAGCTAGAGGCGGGGAACACCTCAGCTACTGTGCCGCAATACATAGAAAAAAAGGAGGAAAAGAAATGCAACTGGTGCAAGCTGGCTGAGCTACCGGTAACGGATGGGCATCGTTCCGGTAAGCTACCAGCCGCTTGCTGTGCACCCAAAAAATTACTATGCAAAATTATATAAGGCTAAATATTGAGATCGTGGTTGGAGGGGGAGGCTAAGGGGGATGGGGTGGGACAAAGAGACTCCCAGCATGAACGCCACTGAGGTCGGCTCCTAGCCATATCAGCAAGTGTGTCCAACCAAACGTGTTCATCGTCCTTCAGACCTCAACCAGGGAGCCGAGACGCTCCAACTGAGGCCAGCTCAGAGGTGAGGGCCTTCATTCCTCTCGACCAAGTCATCGCTTGGCCACCCCTCCTCTTCTTCCATCCACATCCCCGGCGAGCAAACAACACACTTCGCAGGAGTCGGTGGGCTGGCATGCTTAACACGTGGCCGAGCCATCGGAGCCTGATGCGTGGAATAACGGTGCTGAGCGGTTCATTTCCTTTTCCTGTGCCATAAACAAGGCGTCGAACACGCTCGTTACTCATGCGGTGTTCCCACCAGATGTGAGCCAAGCTGCGAAGGCACCGATGGTCGAACGTAACTAGCCTCTTCAGGTCCGCTGCTTTAAGCGGCCAGGTTTCACAACCGTACAGTAGGCTCAAACGTACTGCTGCATTGTACACTCTACCCTTCAGGGCAACAGTGATGTCGCGCCGGCGCCATAAGTGGCGAAGGTTAGCAAAAGCTCGAGGCGCTTTTGCTATACGGTTCGTGATCTCATCTTCAATCCCACGGGCGCTGATACAACTTCCCAGGTAGTTGAATTTTTGAACGACTTCTAGCTGATCCCCACCAAGGGTCAGCGTAGGAGGCGGTCCAGACCAACCTTGGAGGAACGCTTTGCACTTTGAGGGTGCGAAACAAAGCTCGAAGTGACGGACAGCTAGTGCTAATCTGTCCAGTGCCGCTTGGAACGCTTGTGAACTGTCACAGATCAGGGCAATATCATCAGCATACTCTAAGTCAAGAAGTCGTTCTCCTGGGAATAGCTCCACGCCTTCTAAGTCGTGTCCTGTGAACTCGATTTCCATGACTTCGTCAACAGCGAAGTTGGAGAGGAAAGGTGACAGTGGGCAAATGGACTCAGTTAGTGCGCTGCCGGTATCTGTGTTAAACGCAGTCAACTCTACACTGGTCGGGAATAATTCAGGCAATGGAAAATTATACCCCCTACACTTTAACTGTAGCAACGTATGTCACTGTCGTGCAGATACCTGAGCTGCGGTAATCCGGTAAAAATCAAGTAATTACAGGTGAAGGAAAATAGCAGGTCAGGGTATAAAATCCGGAAGCAAGCGAAGAGGAATAAATAAAGCGCTTAGCATGGGACTCACCATAAATTACACATGAGTTATAAGGTTACTGCGCACATCTCTACAGGCCCATTGATAATTTGAGGCAGAAAGTCGTTCAGGTCACCGGGGTATGTAAATTCCAAAGCATCGCGCGCGTGCACACCCTCTGCCTCCCCAAGGTACACATGAACTCTGTTCTTCAGACCACCGAAATGACCGCTGGACAACTGGGTGTGGACAGGCAGGCCCACGTGGGGCCATTTGACCGCTAAGATAATGGATGGCTATAGACAGTGCGACAACGATGAGCGATAGCATTTTATGGCGGCCCATCAGTAATCGGTTGGCCAGGCCAGGTCAGGTTACTGCGGCGAATGCTTGCTGTTTTGGAACCGTGTCTCAGCGATGGATCACAGTGAAGCACGTTCCTCGCTGACATTTGAGCAACCGGAGTAACATTGCGTGGCCGTTGGACAGCGTGTGCTGATTCTTTGGTTGTATGATCAGCGCAGTTTAAACGCTGCAGAGAAGTTTGGGGCGATACTGTTCATGCTGTTCCATGAACGTGGGCGTTGTGTTCTGAAACTTGTGCGAAAGTTCGAGAAAACTGGTGGTGTTTGCAACGCCAAAAATTGGTCGGCCTCACATCACTACGGATGAGTTTTCGGCTTGCGATGTTAGCCGTGGAGTAACCGAAAATCCTGCTCTCAGCACCAATGCAATCGCCCAGCACTGTGACACCACCAGTTACACTCATCAACGGATTTTAAAGAAAGAAAATATCGTCGGTACGGTGAACTCCAAGTGCAAGTGTTTAACCCTTACGACCTGGAAAAATGGCATGTAATTCGCTGTTGGTTCTTGGATCACATGGATATTCCTTTCATTATTTTTACCGATGAATCAGTGTTCCATCGGAACGGAATAGAGTAGAAGTATTCTGCGAGTAGTAGCTAAGCCACGAGGTTACCGAGCTTCACGTACGCAACATAGCTCAAAGATCATGTATATCCTAACCACCTCTTTAAGTTGATCGAGTTTTGTCTTCATTGCTTGAAGGTTCACCATGTAAACGTTATGGAACCAGACATTTGTATGTTGACCACCACTCTATTTTGAGCACTTTGTTCAGTTCCTTAAGTGGTTAACTTTCGGAACTTGTACTCCATTTGTTCACCCTATGTCGGTGGCCCGCCGATAAACCTCTCCGTAGTGTCAGCTGGGTTGTCCGGGTTAATTCTGTACTAGCGAATTTTCGGCTGCAGTGTTCCAGGACGTGGTGGGTTTACGCCTGCCAAGCCTTCTCCTTATAAAAGACCACACATGTTTGCTTAACAACACTGCGACGTGACGGATGTGACTCGCCATTAAATGAAGTCACTGCTATACACACTCCACGGACGCCAGTCATCCAGTATAAAGTTTCCCTTTCACCCTTTATCACGCAGACGTTCCGCCAGAACACAATCACAAACACGGCGTCACGCCTACATATTCAAGTAACACAGCTGCAAACATTCATCCCGAGATACACATAAATACACACCGCAGATCCACTATGCTACTGCTAACCTTGCAATATATTATTGTACATTTGCCAAACATTCGTGTTTGTATTGTTATGACCATGCCTATTCAGGCGTGCCTCCCTATTTCCAGCATATATTATTTATGTAGTTATTTATTTATTTATCTCGATGAACGCATGATTTAACATCTAATGTGTTTTGGTTGATGAATCCCGGTGTTGTTGATATCATTAATGTGAAGTGAGGAAGAAGGAAATCTGGAAAAGAATTTCCCATCTGATACACCCGATATCTGCTGTATTCTTGCCAACTAAGCAGTTTGTCCAAACGTAGCTGCTGGCTACTTAGGTTAGTGTCGTATTTGGGTTTTGAAAGTGGCGATAGACATGGTCGGGGTGGTTGGGAACCTGTCAATCCATTGTAACCTCACTCTGTGCATGCCAACGATGGCGTCCTTACACTGCCAAAGCTCTTAGCAGAAGCCGTGGGTTCCCGAGCGCAGCATGATC